AACTGTTCTATTCAGAGATATTTTAACTGGGCATGCAACTCCTCTAATGTACAGCATATCTCAGAGGTGAACTGTCAAGAATTAAATTTGAAAGCGATTCCACTAATAATAGTGATTAATGATAATAAATTGCAGAGAATAGCTAATGCAGATGCCTGGAATCCCATATTTGGTATTGTTTAACCCTGTCCCCTCTTCTCAGGAGCAAAATCAAGCATCAAATGAAATGAAAAGCATTATCCTAATATAAAGATGACAAAAGTAGCAAATTGAGGCCAGTTTGGCCTCTTATTCCCTACGATGTCACAGCACAAGAATAGGAAGCGCTTTGAGTTTGCCACAACCCCGAATCAAAAATAAGCGGAGTAAATTTTTATCTTTCAAGGTCTAAAGATTAATCTTTCAACTGCAAATAAGGGAAGAGAGTAAGAATCTTGCTGGACAGAACTGAAAGTGCTACTCCTGCTCAATGAATACGGTCCCTGATGTTAAAATCACAAGACAGCACATTTGTCAACTGTCTGAAAGTCAGATACTTCATTTAGATGTTGCATTTTTTCAGCAATGATCCAAAGCAGAACACTGAACAATCCAAGAGATTATCACCTAATCTGCTCTTTTAATACATATAAGAAATCAAAATGTAAGTAAAACAAGCACCGAATAATTAAAGAAATGCATAACAGTAAGGGTCTGATTTTAATTTGCATAACTTTTCCCTTAATAGTGCCTAATTAAGACATCAGTTTAAAAAAAAAAAAAATCCAACAGAACTCTAAGATTTTCCGCACTGAATTAACGTTAAGGACTTTTAATGGTTGTCTTAATTAGACTTTGTTATTCATGGAAATTTTACACAAATTAAAATCAGGTCCTCCATGCGACATTCCCAGCTGACTCTCAGTGAAAATGCTATACGGGTCTGAAAGACTTTTAATCTGTGCACAGATAGCAATTTGTATTCTAACGAAGACATACTCCTTTTTCAATTCTTGGTTTAATTTGCATTAATATTATAACCAACAAAAATCACATAGTTAGGATTTCTCCCTTCAAACTAGCTTTTGATTTTATGGACCCACCATTTTCTTTAATTACATGGAAAATCATGCAGCTGGACCAGAGCACTAGCCCATGGGGACAATAGCCACAATGACCTTCTGAACAGCCCAGAGGGGCCGTATCTGTTATTCAGCACAGAAAGTTTGGTTCAGTCTCAAGTTCTGTCGGTGTCATGCCTGAAAGGTCTGTCATTATGGGTGAAAAACGAAACAAAACAGAGTCCAAAACAAAATGCTGTTGCAGCAACCCCTTCATCCCTGATAAGACAGTCCTTCCAAAGGAACCTAACTCTTAGGAGTGGGAAAACCTGGCTATTGTCTCTCTAGTTTACGTTCCCAAGGCTCTTCTAAAAAAGATGCTAAAGGACAAGATACAGCGCCCTACAGGAGCCTTTCAGACAAGGCATCAAAAATAAATAACAGCCTGAGCAGCAAAGATTACATTACACTGACACTGGAAGTATTCCAAGTATTGACAGACCAAGTCTCAGCCGCAGTTTATCCGACGGTGCAGATCACATCCTAACGCTACGTGCTGATGCTATCATGGAAAGCAGTTCTGCACACAGACCTTCACAAATTACTTGGCTAATGAAAACCATGTTAATTTCCCATATCAGACACAAGTCTGAATGGGTGTAGCAGGCAGGAACTCATCTGTTACTGCATGTTCTCTACAAAAGGAAGAAAAAACCAATTTGACGGGTCTGTGCTGTGCTGCTGGGCTCACTACAGTAACGCCTTTGCATCCGTGCAAAGAAACGTCAGGTGCCTACGAAACAGCGCGAGCATCACCTCGCCAGAGTTTGTTCTCATTGTCATTCTATAAAAACTCCTGTACATCCGTGCACGTGAGCGCATGCACGTGTAGGCATCAGCACACACCTTGCTCCATCCTGCAGCAGGACCCTTGTCTCCGGTGGCCCTGCACGACTAGGTCGTACCTAGCGGGTCGGTATGACTAACCTGCACCCTTTATTCGGCCATGTTGAAGAGGAGAAGTTGCTGGATCACTTATGTGCCAGCTCCCAGCTTGCTCTGAGATCAGAACTAGTGAAATACCAGTCTAGATGCCCTGGAAGACACACAATCCTCACAGTATCTCTTCTGGAGGGTTTGCATTGTTTTACAGTACCTGGCTAGTCTGAGGGCTGGACGGGTCGTAGGAAGGTACGTAATTCTTCAGAGTATCCTGAGGATTCAGGTGGGGAGGATATCTGATCGTTGGATGAGAGAAGTAGCTAGACGGGGCAGGAGGGAGAATAGCTTGTGCTGGAAATGGCAATGGTGACGGTGGAGGTGGAGTTCTAGTTGAGATGACTGGAGGAAACAAAATAAAATCAAAATTACTTCGCTTTTCCTAAAACTCTTCATCCCCATGTTACAGCAAGAAAAATTAAAAGTCAGTTATAAATCAGTACACTGCACTCCTGCTTCATGGTATCTTTACAGAAAAACTTGCATGTCCTCATCTCACATCATCCCAGGCTACTGTTTTAAATTCATAAATACTGTATCTTGTTTTGGTTTTGTGGGTTATGCCATTATATTTTTTCTTTTTTTTTTCTTTAAACAGTAGCCACACTCCAGCATAAAAGACATTTCAATTATGCAGTTTTCCCATATGGATCCCAAATAAACAAAATAAATATTTTACTCAATAAATAAAACGCCCACTTTTATCCACAGAACTTGAACAGAGGAGAACAAAGTCACCAATTCCTAAGAAATAGCTAATGATTCCTCACTGCATTGCACTCTACCTGCCTCACGAGGGAACAGGGTAATAACCAATAATGCCTTGAATATTAGCTGAACTTTTTGAAAATGATAATGAAAATCCAACCTCAGAGCCTGGGAAACCAATCCATCCAATGAAAGTATCTCTGAGAAACAAAAAAGTCTACCTTATATATATATATCTTTATTTGTGTTCTCTTTCTTCCCAGACTCTACAAACACACATTTCTCTATCTATAAACTATATGTAATGTCTAAACAACCAGCAATATTTTCACAGTGAAAGGAATGTACAGCATGTCCTGCTGCTGCCCAGTCATCCAGCTGGAAGAGGAGAATCACCCTTACTACACGTCTAGAGTTGTAGTAGGCTTGTAGTCTCTTGGCAACGTATTTAAAAGGAGGTACTGAGTGCCATGGGAATGGTGAAAAGACAACAGCGTGTTCATTTTCGTTAGTGGGAGAGTACAAAATCAGGTCTGTATACACAAGATATCTTACAAACTTGTGTATACGTCATAGTTTTCCCAAGAAAAAACAACAGCAGGAACGTTCCAAAATTTCTGTACTTGGTAATCAAAACCTTGCAAATCTCAAAACTATTGCTCACCGACATAATAGAACAGGCTACGCAGACAGAAATCAGGTTTCCTAGCAAGTAAATAGCTCATCTACAAATTAGGTTATGACTGTCACTCAAATACAAATATCTAAAAATTATATGCTAAAGCAAATAAACAGATCTACGCACAAGTACAGGGCCAAAAATAATTATGGCAGCTTCTTTAGTGACAGGCTCATTTTAATCACAGCCCCACCAGTTCAGTTTAGTCATGAAACGTTAGCTACTGCTCTGACATGTGGGAGCTGTGCAAAACAAGCACAAGTGAGAAGAAATCCATCCCTTCCATTTCACCATCATCTTGGATGTGCTTGAGTATTTCCTGATACTGGAAACCTTACAGAGACCAGAATGGGTCCAGGCTCACTTTCATGATACAAATTAAGTGGATGTTAAGGGGAAAATAGTCCTTACACATGAATTGAAAGAGAGGAACTTGAAATCATAGAGAAATCACAAAACAAAAGCTTCTCAAAGCAGAACTGCATGTTAAAGAAGAGAAAGAGTCCTCAAATCTGTTTTACTCCTCTAGCCATCCAGTGCTGCTCAAGAAATGAATCCCTTAATATGCAGTTTTTAAGGAGACATGATGAGCTGATAAGGGGAGACTTTGAGGACTGTGTTCTCCTCTGAAGAATCAGGATCACTCTCATCTCTAAAATTAAACTGGCCATGATGCAGGAATTTTCCTGTCATTCCTGATAAACCCTCAAGGTAACATGCATTCAGTCACACTTCAAGTTTCTCCTTCACACTTCAAACGAAGTTTTACTATGGATTTACCATAGATTTCAGAAAACAGATGTTGAGATGTTGAAAAATATTTATCAGGACTCTTTAGACAAAGCATTCAAAAGAAGCACTAGTACTTATTTCATTGTGTCACGTAGCGAACATGGTTGTCATTTCTCTTGTGTATTTAAAATCCAACCTATTCTGGTATTTAAACGCAATATAGTCATAGCAACAATAATAATTAAAAAAAAAAAAAAGATGTAGGTGGAAGGGGGAAAGACAGGGAGGTTTTTCCTCTATCAGTTTCTTCATGCAATTTACAGTTTATTTTATTCACTGGATAATCCTAAATCCTTTCCACCGACTTGCAGCAGTCTACTACCTGAAATTAGTTTAATGAGCATTCCTGGAAGGATACCCCAAACTCTTCCATTTCTACTCTAACCAGTATTATAAATGGGGTCAGGTCTCTCAGAAAGTCTGCAAAAATGCATCACAATCTGATTGCAAGAAGGGAGAACAGATAAATGAATAAGGAGGTATTTCTTCCTCCTTCCTAATCCTCACCACTGTGTGCAACTCCTGGGATTCCTGGGTGGTGATGCTGGGGAAAAGTGCTCAATCTTGGTGAAGAATCCTGGGGAGAAGTAGGACTAAACAAAGGCTTTTCAGGTTTCTTCATTGTAGGAGAAGACATATCTGCAACAGAAAAACAATGGAACAGTGACATTAGCTTAGAAGCCTGTCTCAGGGCATGTAATTTTGTAGACTGAAGATATTTATTTTTACTGTTCCTGCATAAATATTGTTTGGTGACCCAACTCCCTTATGACTGATAAACTAATTTTAAACTATAGCTTTCAAACTTGAGAATGAATAATAATCCCCTCATTGGTCTTTGTCCTGCAAAACAGAAACTACATTCCTTTCATACCAGTCAAGCCAAACAGTGAAGAAATGCATGTCTTCAGAACCTTCCCTAGACACTTCTCAGCTCCTCAGAACATCACCAAATCATCTTCTCCTTCAACAACCACATAATCTTTATTGCATTTTTTAATGGAACACCTACACTCAGGTGTGTAGGGTAACTGCCATACACATGCCGGTTTATGGTATTTATTATCTTGTTATTTCAAAACCCATCCCTCACCCTTCCCAAAACCATAGTGAAACAATGTAACCTCCCTAAGAATAAAGGATACTGTAACTTCTTTATCTCATATTTTCCATGTCTCAAGTAGGGCATTCCCACCTCTTCCTTCCAGCTTCCCTATCAACAAAAGCATCTCTGTAGAGATCACTGCGTGAAGATAATGCACTGGCAGGGACAGATGTACCGTTTCTACAACGCAGGGTTACTGATATCGCATAAAGCAAAAATACTGGATTATTTCTGAAAGCTTAAACTAATTAAACAACATTTGTTGGACTTTGCACCGAATTATTTCAAAGTTAATTATAATAATTTTATAGGACATACATCAATATCATAAGCGGGTTCCATTTCACATCAATGGGACTAACTCATGTTTAAAGCAAAGGCCATTTCTTAAGTACTTTACTGGACTGGGGCCACGTTGCAGATGACTTTCCTGCATGGACTACGTTAGCTTAAAGCGCTTTTGACACTTTTGCTGTTGGCACACTGTATTGTGCTATTCTGGGGGACACGCAATCATCTCGGAAGTCAAAGACAGGCCTGCAAAATGTGAGTGCTTTACTGAGACCGAACTGGACCAGTGCCTTCTGAACTGGCTGGAGTTTAAGAGTGGGTTTTCACCCTGAAAGCCATACTTAGAGCAGACCCATCCAAATGAGAAGCCACTTGTCTGCTCTGCCCCATCCCACTGTCAAGCCCTGCATAGGCACTGGCAGCAGACCCAGATCAGACTCGGCCAGTGCCCCTCCACTATCCCCCTGCAACTCCCCTGCTCCCCTTTGGTCCTGACAATTGTCTGTTGATTTCACAGAATCACAGAATCATAGAATCACAGAATGTCAGGGATTGGAAGGGACCCCAAAGGATCATCTAGTCCAATCCCCCTGCCGGAGCAGGACCACCTAGAGCAGATCACACAAGAACGTGTCCAGGCGGGTTTGGAACATCTCCAGAGAAGGAGACTCCACAACCTCTGTGGGAAGCCTGTTCCAGTGTTCTGTTACCCTTACTGGGAAGAAGTTCTTCCTCATGTGTAAGCAGAACCTCCTATGTTCCAACTTATATCCATTTCCCCTTGTCCTATCATTGGATGCCACTGAGAAGAGCCTGGCTCCATCCTCATGGCAGTCACCCTTTCCATATTTATAAACATTCATGAGGTCTCCCCTCAGTCTCCTCTTCTCCAAACTAAAGAGACTCAGCTCCCTCAGCCTTTCCTCATAAGGGAGATGCTCCACTCCCTCCATCATCTTTGTGGCCCTGCGCTGGACTCTCTCAAGCAGTTCCCTGTCCTTCGTGAACTGAGGGGCCCAGAACTGGACACAATATTCCAGATGCGGCCTCACCAGGGCAGAGTAGAAGGGGAGGAGAACCTCTCTCGACCTACTCACCACACCCCTTCTAATACACCCCAGGATGCCATTGGCCTTCGTGGTCACAAGGGCACATTGCTGGCTCATGGTCATCCTGCTGTCCGCCAGGACCCCCAGGTCCCTTTCCCCTGTGCTGCTCCCCAGCAGTTCAGTCCCCAACTTGTACTGGTACATGGGGTTGTTCTTACCCAGAATCAAGACTCTACACTTGCCCTTGTTGTATTTCATTAAGTTTCTCCCTGCCCAACTCTCCAGCCTGTCCAGGTCTCTGTATTTCCCACATACCCTGCAAAGTTCACCTCTTCAAGAAGGGCGCTGAGAAAGGATTTTCTTCTGCGAAACATACAGCAAGAGCGAGGAATTGCTTTACAGCAGAGCAATTCAACACTCATTCAGTTTTAACAGATATGACCAAGGTTACTGTATGCTTTTTATTATACTGATCTGTTGCAATTTTATGTTGGTAGCAAAAACGCTGAGTGTTGACAGAGGCACCTCTAGCTGTCTTATAAAAATTCAGTAAATAAATTGTTGTTGAGGAAGAAAACGGAGGAATGTTTTGTTTCTTTGAATCTATCAGCAGGTAGCAAAGACATAGTTAACAAGTGGTTACAGTTTTGTTGAATACATTCTGCTAAGCTAAGAAATAATTTTTAGAATTACAAGACTGGGGGTTTTTTACATTGAGTTTTGCACAGGCAAACCGTGATAAGAAGGCATATTAATTCTGGAATAATTTTCAAATATTTAATTATGTTTTGTTTTCTGCCCAAATGACAGCCCTAGCTTCTTCATATAAGGCTCTAGTTCCATTAGAGCAAGAAAATTTTTAAACCTCCACAACAGATGTAGGGTTTTATAATAGCCCAGGACAAAATTAACCAGTTATTGTCTTTGTACTGTGGTTCTCTGCACGCGCAATCTCTGTCCCTGCAGAAATGCTGCAATGTTACAGTCTGAGAAAAAAGATGTGTGCCTAAGAGCTTCTAGACAAGGGCTTCAAGACCACATTACAAAGCTGTGGTCATCAGCAGTTGTCACAGAACTTATCAGTGACCAAATATCTTGTTGACTCTACCACATATAGGCTATCACAAAAGACAGAATGTACAAGCAGTTTGATTTTATTTCAAAGTAAAGGTACGGCACTTAAGCCTTCCTAAGGAAAAAAAAAAAAAACAAAAACATGGGCTGCAAGTGGAAAATCTTTTCCTTATGTAAAGCTCATATTCAACAAAAGAACTCATGAAAGAAAGAGCTGCCTAGCTCCTAAAGGTCTGCATGCGTCAGCAGCTCCGATTTCTGGAATGCAACAGAGATTTAATTTGGTTGATGACTGTTACTTCATTAAACAAGCAAAAGTTGTTGTGCTTTCAAACCCAAAATATTTTAGCTGCTCAAAAGATGTATGTTATATGGAGTGCAATGTAATCAGAGTATCCATTAACCCCCCAGTGGCATCACTGATTCGAAAAGAATCTACCGAAAAGGAGACTGGTGACTATGATAACCCTGGCATTCGCTTTAAAAACATGTAATTTATCCCTGCTCCTCCTTTACAGAAGTCAGAATTACGGACAGCATAAATCACAAAGCAAACGCAACGAACTTCTCATACAGAAGACTCTCTCCTCATCAAGGTGAAGGCAACTGGTACTTGGGCACGGAAAACGGAGCACCGCCATGAAAGCACCCGTTACCCACCAAAACGGCGACTTCAAGGCACCGCCGCATGGCACAGCGCCCGCGCCGCGCGTTCAGGAGGGGTCTCGTTGCACGTCGCACGGGCAACTGCAGAGAACAACGGCTGAAGTGCAGGAAGCAGCTTCTTTGTTCCATCGACGCGCGGCGCACGGAGCAGTAATTGGGATAGCCCCTTCCCACCCGCGGCTCTCCCCGTGCGTGCGCGGCCGTCGTAACGGGGCATTCGTCCTCCCGCCGCTGCCGAGGAGCAGATGCGGCTGATGGGCCGGGCAGAACAATAACTGTTTGTACAGGTCAGGAAAAAAGGCTGCCACCGGCTCCTCCTTGACCCAGGGAGGAGGCTTGCAGCTTTAAGGGGAAAGCACACAAGTTCCGTTTCTTTGGAGAGTTACCATTTACAAAAACAAAAAGTGGGGAGGGGAAAAAAAAAAAAGCAAAGCAGTTTTCCACTGTCTGCAAGTTTGCTCCTAAGAAATAGTGCCTTTAAATAAAGCAGGATGAGTGAAAATGACAGTGAGACTTCATATGATTTTACTAGTAGCTTCTATGTAACAGAAAACACACGTTTTCCTCATTTTAAAGCCTCTTACTTTTTCCATATCATGAGATATAGTCTAGTAGCTACACAGTTATAGTTATATACTGATAATTACATAAGGAATGACAAACAGAGGTCACAAAAATAGGCCTCTTGCTTTTATGTCTGTGTCAAAGTTTCAGGAATGAGATACCAACACTTATTACTTTGAAAATGAAAACAAAACAGCTTCAAGTGTGATTTATTTTTAGACTTATGGAAAAATTCCTGCGTACAGATGAAAAGCAGAAAGATGCCAAAAGCACTTGGACAAAGTTATCAAAAGGTCAACATTAATCAGACACTGTGTCCTGTCCTGCTGAGAACTTTTCCCCCAATGCGAAAAACTGGCTTTTTTTTTTTTTTTTCTTAATTTTCACTGTTGCTCCAGTCACTCTTACCTGTATTCTCATACTGCTGTGGAGTATACACCTGAAACAGGTGGCATGCTAGACGTTTTAAAGCATCACATCAAATAAAAAGGGCTTATGCAAATAAAAAGTGTTAGATCATCTCATCTCCCAACCAGGTGAATGTGCCTGCATAGGAAGGCAGAAGAGCTGCTGTGAAGCATAGCGTATGTAGCATGTTCATCAGCAGCTTGCACAAATGGTGCTCCAGATGTATAGCTGTTCAAGACAGCCCAAGGCCACAATTTTGATCAATTCTAATGTGATAAAATGCTGCAGGGAAAGTGTGCAGAAACGTGTTTGCGTCAGCCTTTAATTAAACTGCTGCTCACTTCCAAAGGACCTTAGGAAACACTAATGAGACATGAATTTTGGCAATTTCCTCATCAAAGCAAAGACCCTCTTCCTCAGTCTGAAGCAGCTTGTCAGCCAGGCAGTTCCCTGGATGAATGTCACCTTGGCACACCACTCGG